TTGATTTTCTTGTTGAGTAATGTTTTTTTTTTTTTTTTGTTATTTGAGATTATTCATTTGGATTCAAAAAGACTAGTGTGAATTAGAAGTCAAAATCTGAAATAAGGTTTTAATTAAGACAAAATTATTTTGGTTTTATCTCTTCACAAAATGGTTATGATTTTGGAGAAGTTGAGTTAAATTTCTATGATGCATCTTTGATTTTTCTGCCGTCTGGTTGAAGGTAAATCCAACCCATACATGATACATGTAATCGGGTTTGATATCGTTCAAGAGAAATTCATTATGCTCCTCACTCATTAACACAAATTAACTATTTATTTGTACCGCATTTTTAAAAATTTACGCGTCATTAATCGTCTATAAAAAGTAATTTTCCATCTAAAATTCGGAAAGGATTTATACAAATTGTTATATTATAATGTCCACATAAAACACTTCACCTATTTCATTGTAACATATACACTTAACTAAATAAGCTAATATTCTGTCCATAATCAATTTTCGTTCATCTTTTACTAATCAACTAGAAAACAACCCGCACTATGTGCGGGATGAAACAATTTAAGTAAAACTATTATACGTAAAATTATTATATGGGATCCAAATTCCGTTTGTATAAAACAAAATATATAACAAAAGTTTTTTGTTTTATTCAAATTTGCAAATATTTTGTATAAAATTTTTTATTCACCCGTAAAATATTTGAGCGAGGTAAATACTTCCTTATGGAGAAAATATTGATGAAATATTATCATTTATGGCACATATATCTTTTTGTGTATTTAATAATTAAATTCATATATTTTGTGTTACATGTGACCGTAGTCATCAAACATCAAAACAAAATGCTTCATTATATGATTACATGTCGACTCTTGGTAAAAAAATTCCTTAATATTTGATCAACTAAATAAAACCTTAGAGATTGAAAGTATTATGGGTTCCATATATATTCCACAATATCATTCCTATATTTTCTACTTCTTAAAAGTTTTAAATCGATATTTCATATAAAGTATCATAATTTCTCTATATTTATATTTTCGTACGGATTTTTTTGGATAAGTCAATTAATATATCTTAATATTCTTTTGTTATGGTACATGTAGTAGTACATGGTAAAATTATACGAATATGGTAAAATGATAGAGTCCATAATGAGAGTTTTGAGGTAATTATAAATTCCGTTATTAACTTATAGTTACCAAATACCATAATCAGTGGAAGAATTTGAATTAAGTGGAATCGTGGTAACCAATATAATGGATTATGTAATTTTTTTGGATTAATTAATGAGTAAAATAAGTGTTATTAATATCAATGGCAAATTGATGTAAATAGTATAGTAAAGGATGAACAATTAATTAAATGGGTTAAGGAGCTCTATAAACTCGACACATCATCATGGCATTTTCGTTAATCCATAAATACATTTTGCGCTTTATTTCGTAATACATTATTTTGGATAATCGTCAGCATTTAAATTTACTAAACACATATTTTCATTAATTGTTTTAATCAACGATTGTTTTTACGTACAACTTGAGTTAATCCAGTAGAATTATGTGTGAAAATAGAAAATCTCAAAGAAGACATAATGGAGACGATGGAAAAAGCCGGCTAGTGATCACATCAATGCATGTTGCTATCAGTCTACAGATCGTACCATAAGGACACAATATTGATTTGGAATCCTTAAGCCCACGAGGGGGCAACGTGAATTTGGGGCTAACACTCACCTTTTTCCTCTTTTGTTCTTTTTATCATTCATTATACACCTATCCATTCCATATATAAATATACATGATAAATTATACCAGAAAATGAATTGGAAACTCAAAATTATACTATCTTTAGTATTAAAATATTGTTCAGAGTTGGTTATTAATCGGCCGGAAACTTAAATCAAAACACAAAACAATACTATCTTTACTATTAGATCATTGTTTTGTGATTGATTAACCATCTTATCACATGCAACAAATCAATTCATGTCATCAAACTATACATCATCATGAACAAACATAATTAGATTTGAGAATTTTGTAATATTTTTGGTATGTTGCATTAAAATGTTACCCCACATGAGAGTGTCAATGTGGGGAGGCAAAAAGCACACCACATGGTAGTCCACTGGTGTACATGAAGAGGTTGTCTTAGTATATTCGATTGTTGATTTTTGAATATATGAAGAAAAAAAAAAGGTGATTAGAGTGTATTGTTAAGGGGTAATTAAGTAAGCGGCACAGATTTAGAACAATTATTTATTATTTGTATATAATTTATGATTAGTTTGTAGGTTTTCTATAATTTTAAATTATTTAACAAATAAATAACAAATCTTTACTGTTTTATTCAGAAGCTATATTAATAAATGAGTTTTAATAAGGCTTTTAAAATTTATCTTTTATGCTTTTTTTTATAGTAGAAATATATTAAAACTGCATTGAGTTTAGTTTTTCCAAAACAATACATCACTACTATCTTAGTAGTTTTCACTATGTCCGTTGGGATAAGAAGAGTTAGTTATTTGGTTTCTAAATCTAATTAATTAGTTCTATATGACATGATGGTTGACAACATCTACCATTTCGTGGACGAAAGTCCATATGTTGAGAGAGAAGACGACCATGATATCTACATAGACTTCTATAGTGATGACCGTATCTATCATATAAGTGAAGATGAATTAATAATGGTGGTCCAACTAGAGATTGTTCACTAATGATTTCTTCAAGACAAGCAAATCAACATAATAATATTTCCCATCTACTCTAAAAGAAGAGTGTTGGAAAAGAGAAAATGTGAAGTACAAGTTTCTCTACAAGTTTTTGTTAAGAAGCAAAACATTGATGTGAAAATCTATGAATGTCAACCCATCGAAGATTCGAGGAGGAAATGTATTTGGTCGGCAAGACTTGATGCATGGTAGATTTTGGAAAACTATTCAATGTTTTTTTTTTCATGCTTATCTTATTTCAATTCAGATTATCTATTGGGTTTTCTAGAGGTTCCAGTTTTTTTTAATAGATAGTTTACTTTTCTTTAGAGTTTCTTTCGAGATTTAGTAAACGAGTTTGGAAATGGTTTTGAGAGAAGTGTTCTATAACCTTGTGTTTGGTAGATTAGATCTAACGAGATCTGCACTAGTTTAAGAAAATTTGGTTAATTAATGTAAGACCATGATTTCTACGACATAGCAAAACTGAATAATTGCAATAGATAATGATAAAAACCATAAATAAAATACAACAACCGATACCAATATTTGTTAAACAAAGAACGGTTTGTGCGGAGGCGAGACATTTTTTCCTTAATTCTTTAATTGCCCGTAGTGTGACTGCTTGACGCAATCAAAATCCCAGGATACAACCGCACCATCTTCTGATTTGCAACACTCAAAATCAGAAGTCTAACGAACTCTAGTAATATGTGTACTCTCAGACTCGATAACTAGAGAAAAGAAGAAGGAGATTGTGATCTTTTTGATCCATATGTCCATGAGCAAAATGGAGAGATGAAGTCCTTTGTTTTTATAGTCCAACCTCTCAACATTAGAAATAAAGAGGAGTAATGAGAATTCATTCTCAACATAAAAGTCATATTTTCAATGGTAGTCATTGACTCCATTATTCTCATTAATTGATTTGTTGTTACACAATTCACAATTAAATGAGATATATGTTGAATCATTCAACATTATGACTTAAACACATTTGGGTAAATGACAATTGTTATTTGGGTTATAAGCCCATTTCCCAAATCTCAAATCCCAAACCCGGTCCGGTTCGACACGATACAACACGGCTCGGCACACATGCCTGGTATTGATTTCTCCTTTAACTTCTGAAGTGCGACATTTGATCATTTAGTCAAATTTCAAGCTATCCAAACTAGCCACATTGGATCTCCATTTCTCATTCAAACGAACTTCAATTTTGAAAATTACCCAAAAAAGTAGTCCGGTGCAACTAACCAAAATAAGTTCCAACAATTAATTCATTATTTAAGACTAACAAATAACCTTTCACTATCATAATTTCCGTTATTCCCAAAATCAACATATCACTAAGCCTAAGTTTCCAGTACGTCGCCTAATGGATAATAAAATCTTCGAATATGTCTTTGGTTATAAGATAGACTTTAAACATCAAATGAATTTTGAAACAACCAATTGAGTGATATCAAACAATGCAGGATTGATCGTAAGAATATAGCAAGTTGTCGTAGCAAATGATTTTGGAGGAATACAACACCTTTAGTTTTATTTTATTTTTAGGATTTAATTTTATTGCTACCAAGCAAGAACAGATTCAACTCCGGATATAATATCAAACTTCTAAAAATTGTATATGGAAACGGAAAAAGATATGCGAGCGTGCACATTTTCTCTTTTTGGCAATCATAAGTCATTTGTGTTGGGATCAATCACTATACCTCGAACAAAAACACTTATTTTCTTGAACAAAAAACATTATCCTATTACCATGCATATGAATTCAATCTAAACACAAAAATTTGTGGGAAATTTATTAATTAGTAGAAGAATAATGTGACTCAACATAACTAGCACACGACATTCATAAAGCCATTATTGTAATGTATCCATCCAACCCCATGAACATGACTTGTCATATTAAAATAGATTTTCCATATTTGATAAAAACCATAGGTTATATCACTACAGGAAAACAAGCCTTTTGCGACTACTTTTTGTGACTCTTTTGTTGGTCGCAAATATTTGCGACGATACTGTTACCAGATAGTGACTCTTTAACGACTACGTTAAAAGTAGACGCATATTTGTCGCCAATTTACGACGCCAACGATTAGTCAGAGAATGGTCATAAATAAGCGACCCTTTTACGATACTTATGCAATCATGTCGAAATCCAAAAAAAGGTTTCGTGAAACTTCTTAATCGTCACAAAAGAGTCGTAAATTTACAACTAATTTGCCTCTCTTTGGAGACTCGTCCTGATTTAAAAATTGTTACTAGATCAAATCGAATGTTTAATATGTTAAGTAACCATATTTTGCATTGATTTTAACTAATACATTGAAAGATTAGTTGTTAATGTTTGAATTTTACATGTTTATAACTAAATCTTTGTAAAAACCTATCTTGTGGAAGATGTTTCATATAGTTTTAATCTTAATCTAAGTAAGTTTGAAAATAAACTTACCAAATCATTGTTTTGTCTCTTAAAATGAATGATATACTTCACAAATGGACTATGGAGTGTAACATAATCCTTATACCAATGTATTTAAATCTTAAAGTTCACAAATCATAAATATTGATTTGTGACTCATACGCGAACGTCGCAAAAGCGTATCTCTTTGCGATTACTTTGCCACTGTCTAATGTTACAACTAATGTGCTACTCGTTTGTGACGACTTTGTTACGTATTTTGCGACCGTTCTGGTACTCTTTAGAGACTCGTTCTGTTTTAAAATTGAAATTGTATAAAATAGAATGTTTAATATGTTAAGTAACTATATTTTGCATTGATTTGAACTAATACATTGAAAGATTACTTGTTAATGTTTTAATTTTACATGTTTACAACTTAATCTTTGTAAAAACCTATCATGTGGAAGATGTTACATATAGTTTTAATCTTAATCTAAGTATGTTTGAAAATAAACTTACCAAATCATTGTTTTGCCTCTTAAAATGAATGATTTACTTCACAAATGGACTATGGAGTGTTACATAATCCTTATATCAATGTATTTAGATCTTAAAGTTCAAAAATCTTAAATGTTGATTTGTGACTCATACACGAACGTCGCAAAAGCGTATCTCTTTGCGATTACTTTGCCACTGTCTAATTTTACAACTAATGTGCTACTCTTTAGTGACAACTTTGTTACGTATTTTGCGACCGTTCTGCCACAACATTTGTTCTTGTTCTTGTTTGTGACTAACTTGCGACGACTTTTGCGACAACTTGTACAACCCGTTTGCGACCGATTTGGGACCGTTTTCCGACTTTTACCAAAATTTAGGGTTTTCGATTAGGCGGGCTATTATCCCTCGTGTTTTTTTGGTTGCGACCAAGTTGGGACGAGTTTGCGACTCCTATTCTTTTATTACTACCAACGAAAAGTCACATTTCTCGAATCTGAAACACTTTAGTCTTTAGTCTTCGATTCCTCTCTTCGTTTCTTCTTCGATTTCTCTCTTCAATTCCTCTTTTTGATTCGTTTTCCTCCTCGATTCTTCTCTTCAATTCCTCTTCGTTTCTTCATTAATTTGGTAGTAGATCTTTGATTCCTCTTCTTCTTCGTTTCTTCTTCGATTCCTCTTCCTCTTCGTTTCTTCTTCGATTCCTCTCTTTGCTTTAATACCTTCTCTCTCTGTCCTCTCTTCGCTTTAATACCTTCTCCTCTCATCTCAAAACCCTAGCCGTCGATGTCGTCGCCGCTTCTCCTCGTCGCCGCTTCTCCTCGTCGAATGACACCTTTGTGTGGTGAGCTCGCGTGATTTAGATTTCAAGCTATGTGTTCTCGGATTTGAACAGTGAGTGGAGTCTCTCATCTTAGTCTGAAGCTCTTTCTAAAGAAGTGTTGGGCGTTTTCAAACTATAAAGAAAGGTTTGGTCTTGTTGAGAAGAATCATTTCTAAAGAAGTTTGATTCTGTTGGTAATTGATCTGAAATCCTAGGTTTTAGCCGTAGATCTGCTGCTTCTTTCAATTGATTTGAGAAACCGTAGGTATTGATTCCATAGAAGGTGAAGAATAAGATTCCAGAATTTTTGATTAGTCTTAGTGAGATCGTAAAATTCTTTCATTATGAGGAATCAGAGGTTGCTATGAGTGTTTATGGAAGCTGTTTCTTCTCGTTTTGGATTCTAATTGGGAGTATGGAAGTTGATTGAAAACAGTGTTGGTTTTCTTATTCGTTACCTAATATGTTGATGTTTCTTAAGCAATAATGAAGTTTTGAATTTGAAGGGAACGTGGAAGGAAAAATAAGGAGCAGATCTTAGCTTCATTATGTTGCCAAGTTCGAGTATTGGTTGTTGGTGACTCAGGTAATTTAGAAGTTCTGGTTTCATGTGGATTGTTATATTTTATTACATGTTTTAAGGAGTCAAAGCCAATAATAGTGGAGGCCTTTAAGAACAAAGGCATAACTGGTATAGGAGCTGCAAGGTTTTGTTGGGGTGGCGAGTTTGGTTTTCTTGTTTCTATCACTTCTATTAGATTGGATAACTATGAGAGAGAGAAAGGTAAATTAGTAATATCACACTTCCCTCATTCCTTTCTTTCCATTGTCCTAATAAAGGTTATGCGATTTCAGGAACAAGCAACTTGAAGAATCACGCCTCAAGGTAAACACTAGTTTTTCCTCTTTTGCTTCCAACTGAGTATAACCAAATGTAATTAAGCTTATGTGATCACATGATTATGAACCTTGTTAAAACCAGTGTTCCCTCTACAGTGGCTACTATATCCTAGGCACCGCCAATGCAACCGCCAATGCAACAGCCACTGCCAATGCAACAGCCACAACCACTGCACAAAACAACGTAGAAGAAACCATAGGAGAAACCAATCCAGCCACTGCACCACAAGGAACTGTCGCAGCCACACCAACAGTTTCTTCATCATCATTCTAAGTACTTTCTTCATCTTTTTTTCATTCTGTTATGAACATTGAGGATCCTTTTGAATGTTTAAGGTTATATATGTAAGGCTATGTTACCAACATTAGGGCTTTGAAACAAATTTAAATGATCGCAGATTTGTTTTTTGGTTTTCGATTTCTATTTTTTCTTTGAAGCAATTTATGGTAGTAGATTAGGGACTAAAATGTCTACTAAAAAACTGTAATCGTCGCGGAAATGTTGCTTATTTGTGACTACAGAATAATGTTAAATCCATCTCAAAACCCAAATTAGTCTCAATAATACGACTGATATATTAGTCACTAATTAGTCGCTAACAAATAGGTGTAGCTAATACGTCGTAAATTTACGACCTATACAGTCCGTCTCTACCGCGTCGCTAATCTGCGACCATCACAAGCAGTCTTAACAGCGTCACAAATTTGCGACGACAGTGCGACCATTGTAATTAGCGACCGTTTTTTAGCGACCAACGTGTGCAGTCGCAAAGAAGTCGCAAAACAGCAATTAGCGACCGTTTAAGGACTCGATTGGGGGTCGCAAAAGGCATGTTTTCTTGTAGTGTATGGATGTGAGCCTAAAGGAAAAGGAGTGATGCAACTATAATTGACTAATCATTTCAGATTATTATTTTCCTCATTTGATAGAACCATTGTTGATATGGATGAGAGCTAAGAGATGAGAGGATATGATATATTTGTATCCTTTCAAGTAATATATACACAAACATATCTATAAATATAGAATATTTGAAATTGAAGCAAAGGAGAAGATGATTGAGAAAGAAACAACAGCCAAGACAAGCACTTGGACATGGAAAAAAAAAACAAAAGAAAATGTAATGGGGACCTTCACACATGGGTATTAGAAAGACAAGTATATAGTGGAGCCAACGCCAAAGCTCATCTTAAGAATCTTTTCTAGCAAACTGTTGGTTGCAACCTCATCTTCCCTGAGTACCTTTTATTCTTCTTAATTTCAACATTGACAATCTTTTGTTTCAATCATTTTTTTCTATATATGAAAAAGATTTTAAAAGTTTTTTTTGTATTCATTTACGATTGTAATATGTTAGTCGTTTGCTGGTTGTTCGTGGGATCGAATACCGTATAAATGTGTATTTAAAGACTATAAGTTTGGTTAGTTGTTTTTAACAGACAAAAAAGTTTGGGTAGTTGCAAAACATTGTGCTGCATGAGCAATGCATGTGATATTATTGATTGAATTTGTACCATATTTTATTTGGTACATGATCATTTTTTGTATGGTGCATCCACCAAATCAATTTATTTATTATATATAGAAAATAAGAACCAAATGTATTATTAATCTTCTTTTATTCGTAAGGGATAACAACCAATGTAGTAATATAATCAAATATAAACTTTCGAACATTCTAATTGTAAATTTTTTTGCCCTCTTGGAATCAAGCAAAAATGTGTCTATTTCTGAAGTTTAAATTTTTCCTCTGATAAACTAATAATGAATGTTTTAAAGAAACCAAGTCACCAAGAGTAGTGTGCTGCTGATGTACTTATCCTGAACTTATAATATATGCTAAATTTCGTTATCATTCGAAAAATCCATTACAAATTCATTGTTGCCAGCTTGTTATACAGCAAAATATAAATAAATAATAAATAATTTATAAAACTTTAATAATAATTGTAGTTGAAGCCCACAGATTCGTTATGGCCCATTATTGTCCATGCAACCGCAGCCACCACACGGATGGCTAAAGTCACCATATAATTTGGTTTCCTTTATTAGACCGTATCTTATATTATAATTGAAATTTAGAGATTATATATTATATTTTTGAAACCCTTTTTTTCTTGGACAAAAATATTTTTGACACCCATGTGTCACATATTATAGGATCAATCATCAATGCTTAGCCATTTCGCTAGGTTTGGACTTTAAGCTTACAACGAAATGTTGTGCCAATTTAGTCTTCAACTTTTGCCTTTTGTTTTATTTGATAAGACTTTTACCATTACTAATCCTTGCTTAGCCACGTAAAATATTCCACCTATTTTTAGTTATTGACCGTAGGATCTATGGAGTCAAAGATTTTGAGATGACTATTTAGTATTTAATGATTAGTTCGGAAGAATCTATCAAGAAAATAAAAAGACAAATCTTCCAACAAAATACCAAAGTAGTCTTCAGTTATTAAGCTAAAGATATATTTTTCTTTTTTCGCATCAATCAAACCATACCATATATGTTGGATTCTTGATCCATGTTTTTTTTTTCTTCAGAATTTGATGATATATTCACTGAATCACATATGGTCATGTGGATTCAAAACGTGTCGAGGAAGAAGTGAAAAACAGTCTACACTTTATTACCATTTACCAAAAATTATGGTTTATGTGAAAGTATAACTTTTTAAAATTTGGTTTTCCTTATTTAGCACCGTTTAAATTGGTTGTCACCATTCGAACAGTGTTAGAATCATATACGTCACCGTGACCAGGAGATTTGGTGTGTGCTAGTCATTGTGATTTAAAATGTTCTCGAGCCTTGTAATTTTTGAGTTCAAGTTTGACTTGAAAAGTGGATACCAAATTTCACATGGAAGCCAATTTATCATACTAATTTCACGTGAAGCTTATGTCACAAGAACATCCATCTTTCCCACTTGTCTCGTTATAATAAATTATTATTAAATAACAACTAAAAGAAATTTGTTTTAAACTAGTTTTGTTTTATAGTCGGAAGATCTCAAACCACTTGTACTTGCAACTGCTTGATATGAAAAAAGTTAGAACATTTTTTTATACCTTCCGGTTGGTTGATGAGAACTAGTTAGAACTCGATAAATTTGTAATACCATTTTATTATTTATTTTATTTTACTGGATGAAATAGTTTTTTGTCATTTTGATTTACTTGTATGTGAGCTTTATCGCTATTAAACATGTTTATATATACAGTAGTTTCATATTAGGGAGACTCATAAAAATATCCCTTTTTTAATACCCTTTTTCAAAAATGCTCTCTTTGTCTGTCCATATTTAAAAATACCCTTTTTATGTATAAAATGACTAAATTACCATTTTTAATAAAAGATATCACAAATATATAAGGAAAACATGAGAATATGCACACATCAAAATTACAAATTTGATTTTGTAAAAACTTGTAAAACCTTTAAAATACCTTGTAAAATTTTTACGTAAAAAAGTTTCCCGCCAAAAATTTTTTTTGCGGGAAAAGTGATTCCGCAATTTTTTTGGCGTTAAATTTTTGGAGGGAAAATTTTTGGCGGTAAAAATTTACAAGATATTTTAAAGGTTTTTTACAGGGTATTTATAAGGTTTTACAATGTATTTTAAAAGGTTTTACAACGTATTTATATAGTATTTATAAGATATTATAAGATTTTACAAGCTATTTTATAAGGTTTTACAAGTTATAAGGTTTTACAAGTTTTTTATAAGGTTTTACAAGTTATAAATACCTTATTAATTCAAATTTTTGAGTATAAATTTAATTATTTGAATTTTAGAAGATTTTTTTTTACTTATGTGCATTATCTTCCCAAAATATTATATAATTTCTTACACTTTTCACTACAATTTCTATCATTATTTTCTATGATTTACTCATCGTCTTCCGACATCTACTTTTTTACACTTTATTGGCTCACATATGATATGCTACTGTGAATTGGTTCTCAAGGTAGATCATATCTATTTTATTCTTCCTATATTTGAATACTCAATTCTTTTTTATAAGTTGCATGATCTTTTTAGTAAAGTGGACATCAAAAAATCTAGGAAAATGTTTGCCATAAGGTGCATATAAAATTGTCTTATTGACAACAAATCTCATATATGAACTCATTCCAATTCACAAACATCCGATTTTAACATCAAATTTTGTACTTTATCTTAACCGATTGAATAATACTAAGCTCTTTTTTCACATATATAATTTGAAAAAAATTGTGATTCTAGAGACTATTCTTAATGTTGATTTCCCTAAAATATGTAACTTACGAACTCATAAAAAGTATTCTAAATTTTAAATATGTTTTTTTAAAAACAAAATCTTCTTATTTCTAATTAAAAATCTTCAATCTACCATTACTATTCAAATTTTCAAATAGTATTCTCAAATATTATTACTACCCAATTTTATTATTCGAGTAGATTGTTTTGTTTTTATTTATAATGTTTAGGACATATTTTTGTTTTATTTAAATTATCTTATTTTATTCAATCTATGTTAATTATCTTAACATTTATTAATTTTAGTTTTTTTTCTTTATTATACATTCATTTTTTTATTAAAAAAGCCTCCACTTTTTAATTTAGAAAATTATTTTAAGTAAAAACTTTTAAATTTGATATTTTTTTAACTCTTATATTCTTTATTCTATTAAATAATTGTTGTACCGCTAAGACGCTAACTATTTAAAAATAGTTACTCATTATATGTTAACATATAATTATCTAATTTTATATCTCTCAAATCTTAATTTCAAATTTTTTATATTTTGTGTTGTATGTATTTTTTTTTTAAAACCTTTAAATTTGATATTTTTTTTAACTCTTATATTCTTTATTCTACTAAATAATTGTTGTAGCATTAAAATATATGATAAGCTTCTTTTATCTTACCGCTAAGGCGCTAACTATTTAAAAATATTTACTCATTATATGTTAGCATATAATTATCTAATTTTATATTTCTCAAATATTACTACAAAAGTTTTATATCTTGTGTTGTATATATATTTTTTTTCATGTTCAAGGTTTTTTCGTAAATTATTGTTTTCATAATATAAAGTGTGTGAATCAATTTATTTTAATGTTTTTATTTTAATAAATAAGATATGTAGAATCCACAAAAATAGTAAAAAGTGATGACATGGATGCTGATGTGGACACTTTAAATGGAAAGAGAAATCTCTAATTATATATATAGGGGGACTTATTGGGATGTTGATTTGTGTAAACTTTGTGGATTTCAAAAGTTGAGAGATTTTTAAAATCTTTAAAGATTTTTGTGGATTCTAATAAATCTGTTTACACAAATTTGTGAAATCATTACAATAATTTTATGGGTTGTAGTAGATTCATGGTGATTTTTTTCTTCAAAAATTTATTAGAAAAATATT